CTTGACGCAATTACCACTAGTGACATCCCAATACAGTCCATAAAGCTGTTGTAACAAGGTAGCTATGTCTACACATATGCTCATGTAATAACGTATGTTTGTTTTGTTGCTATATCTCTCTTCTAAGAATTTCCGAATCCTGGAGTTGGAGAGGCCATTTCACAAATGACCAACAGACGGCATTGTAACTTTCACGGTGGAAGGAATATCAATGTCATTGATGGTTGCGTTGAATCTGAAATCCATTAAAATTAAATTGATATAATTCAAACCTAAAGTGAAAGTTCACCACTTAATGAATATATCTGATGGTGGGTACAATAGATACATGTTTGAGTAACATATGTATGGGAAGTCGCTACACAAACCTATGTATGCAATACCTAGCAAACACGCGTGCACTAATCACGTAAAATGAAATCATTGTTCATATGTTTTACACATATAAAACATAAATATATTGCTATAAACAGCAACGAAAGAGAATGTCAGGGGAAATGCATGGCAATAATTTGTGCTTTTAGTAAGAAGAGAACGAAAACGTGATGTTATTTTGTCCTCTGAATTCTATATTACATGAATCTACAGTACGTTGCTTGTAGGTGTCGGATGTGATAGTGTATAGCTTGATTATTGCCTTCGAAATGGTGCAATTAACTCAACTTTTAGGAAGGTGCTATGTCAGTTGTTTTATGTCTCTTTTTCTGAATCTGGTTTGGTTTGGTTTACACTAATTAACAGCAATGGTAATTTGAGGACGTTCCATGTTTTGGTGGTGGAGAAAACAGTAGTGTCTTGAGAATAGCATCCGACCTGCCGCCAGTATCCATCGACTGCCTTATTTAGGAAGGCTAGTGATCGTAGACGCATAGCCTCGTTCAACCAGACGCTTGATCACTTGTTATTCAAGAGTCTGGTCAAACACAGTTCTTTAGAATAGCCATCAACAGAGGGCAGTGTATTCACTTTTATCGAAAGCAATGTTAGAAAACGTGTCAAATCTCCAGAATAATGTCATATATTTCCACTGAATAAATTGTAACTGAGCACAAAGTCAACAATGCTGACTGAGGTTGGAAAAAAGCATGCAAAGCAAGTGAGAGTTTACCTGTACACCATTCAAAACACCACGGGTTCTCACTCAGGTAATCTGGCTTGACTTGTATCAACAGCCTGGTTAGCGTCATGAATTATTGTAAAATATTCAATGAAAAAACATGAAATCATTCTTGAGATTTGAAGCATTTTCTTAATTTTTTGTCGATAATAGTGAAAACACGGCTACTTCAGGAATGCATTTACAGGTAAGTTTTTTACTGAATTAAAAATTCAATGTAGTTTTGCGCCACTCGAATTCTGACTTCAAAAATTGAAAAGGGTATGTCTTCCTTTGACCAACGAAATCATTTACCAGAATTCTGGTAAGCCTCATTATGACTTCACAAAACAATAGCACTGGGTTTGACCAGACTCTCTGTTCGGCATAGCTTGCGCAGACGACAAGAGTCTGGTTGAACGAGACTATAGACGGCAATGCGTGTTAACCACTCGACCTTGACTCCTTAGTTATTCGACTCAAACAGGAAGCAAATTGATAAATATAGATTACGGCCATTGTAAGAATTTGATAAATTGACAATTTTATTTACAGTTTTGAGTATATGTAGTCTTGCGTTATATATAGTACTGAAGGCCTGAGTTGATCTAATATTTATTCTTTCCTACAAAACTCATAATATATGACATGAACATCTATTACATAACATAACTTATACACGGCGACTGACTCGACAGAAAGTACAACTGAAATATAATCATATCATTTATTGAATAAAGAAATGAATCTGCACCCACACTGACTTACCTGGGACAATGAACCTCAGATGATGTATATATTTGAAGGCTGGATCTGCAGTGGTTTGAGATCGCGCAGGGAATGACAGGTTCTAAGCATGCGCACACACTCATACCTATGTGTTATGCAATATGTAGGCGGGGTGCCAATTTGGGCCTTCAGGTAGCTATCACCGATAAGTTTCAGTGTTTTTATTCACACTTACCTAGGGGTTATGCCATCATGATACATGTATGACATGAAATTAAGGTCAGCTTGGAGACCATTCCGAGTAATAAAGGGGCAAAGTGAGGGACCAAACTCACAAATGGTCTCTTTTGACAAAACTGCATGTTATGTTTTGAAAGTTTCTTCATGCTCTAACTGTACAGGAATAGTTACAAATGTCTCCGAAACAGTCCATGTAGTACTAGTATTAGACATGTCTTTAAGGTAGACCTAGAATGGAGCTCGGAAACCGAAACGTAGACATGAAAATGCGGAGATAATTTTGCATTTTGTTTTGAACGTGGCGTAAAGGGTTATAGTGAGTACACAGACAGTTAATATCGCACGGGGACAGATAAAATGATACGTGTATTTCCACAACGCCTGATACGATATTATGTGACTACAGTCGTTAAAGTCTTTGTTAGAAACAGTAGCAATTATACTTCAATGCCTCCCGGGACCACCGGTTGATTATTCTAAAGCCAAATAAACGGAAGAGAATTTTCTAAACATTTTCCTCATGTTGGTAAATATGGATTATGAAAAGTTCTTTTTAAACAATCAATTATGAGTTTCTATATGACGTTTATATGACTAGTACGGATTGTATACTGTCATCTTCATCAGACAAATGACAAGTGAAGCAAATGCACACAAAGGTGTAAAATTTGTACGAGTTGTCCACAAAATCGATGTCGATTCGGCTACGCTGTAAGCGTATGTACAATAGTTGTTATATATGTACCGAAATGATTCGATTCAGATGTGCGAGAGTCTATGACCCCTCTCATCTCGATTTAGAAATGTCCGTCTGCGACGTATCCAGATGGCTCACTTTATGTGCCGCTTGAACAGATTGCTCTCTATGTCCAATACTTTAAAGTTATCTCATACAATTACATGTTTTTTTCTGTGTGTCATGGTCTGTGATTGCCGATTATTTGGGACTACGACTGCTTCCTTTTTGATCTGGTGAATTTTTCCGGTATTCACAAAGGCAGACCTCAAATCGCCATTCAGTCTCTCCGATATACGATGCGTCGCTGTTTTTGAATTCAATTTTGTATACGCATTCTGCGACGGGTTTTTTAATCAATAGTATTGTAGCTTACAGTATCACTATCCATGCTTCTTGAAGCAGAACAGAAATAATATCAACAAAGAAATATCTCCAAAAAAGATAAATTTTAAATAAGCTCTAATGACATATCTATTATGCGAGAATTGCAGCCATAGTCATTATCAAAACAAACACGCAAGAGTTGGCTTTATCGAAAGGCATTCATGTACATATGGTATACATAGATAACATATGAATAGCAAAGAAGTGTTATGAACGAGTGAGTTTAACGCATGTCTACGTTAATTGAGGCGATACATATTTAAACTCAACTAATTTTTCAACAATTATGAAGCAAGAAATAGTAAAAAAAAGTTTTGCCAACATAAATTATCTGTCTTGTTGACTGCTATATTGAACCGTGTATAGGGCCTAAATATGGCAGAAATCGGAGAACCTGGAGAAAACCAGCTTGGTTAGCCTGTTGACCCCATAACTTTTCACGCCGATCGAGGAATCGAACTCCAGCCGTAAAATGAAGGTGATATCGATATACATTTCGTCATTGTCTGTATGCAAACCTCTGTCAGGGTTTTTATGTTAAATTTGCTTTGTGTGAAGAATCACGGTCGTATATTGACAGGAGTAAGGGTACGGGTGGCATATTTTTTATGTGATCAGTCGAACTTGTGTTATTGGTATATGTAAGAGGAACAATGAAAACTGAGTATCGATTAACGCATAGCTAGTCGCTACACCTACTACATTATAATGCGAGACATTATATAATCCAAAACGATATGTACTAATATGTTTTAATATACGAACGAGACACCAATAACTCAAGCAGTGTTGACTTTACTACACCAGTCGATAGCATTAAAGTAGAGATCCCACAATGAGGTCCCGTGACTATTTTTCCCGGATCAATGTTTGAGAGTTGATTTTAGTCAATTTGAGGGTGCTGATTAAAATGAGCTCAGGTAAACCTCGTGAAAATGTTGGCTAACTCGGCCAAACGAGTACAATTCAAAACGGCCGCAACCCGACGTCTGGTATATAAAAATTATTACATATCTTTGCTTCTAGGTGTCCGTTTTATAAGATATTTGGGTCTAAATATGTATTTGAGGGGTCAGGGATTTTATTTATTAGTCTAATAACTTGATAAAAGTAAGCGTTTGAACGAAAAATGGTCTTTTATAATTTTGCTGCCAAAAATCAGGATTACCGCCAGCTGACTGCAAAGGAAAAGACCAGGAAGACGCCCTTAATGGTTTGGATGCAAAGGTTTCATCTTAAACCAGTGTGTATTAGATAAAAACTCCATTGTATGAAATGTACAGGGTATTTTGGTGTACTTGCCTCCTTGTGATAGCACGTATCTGATACCGACTTTATAGTGCTATCTCACTGAAATACCATGCTGAAGGAACCCAGCACAGCATTCCGTCCGGTCACTTTATACTGACAACGGGTGAACCAGTTGTTGCCAATTCCCATAATACTGAACGTTCAGCAGGAAATAACAACCCCACCCCCCCACCCCCCCACACACACACACACATACATTCTGAAGGGGTACCACATTAGTGCCCTCAACCTAATGTACAAGACATGCAGAAAAATTGCCTGTTATTTTAAGGGCATACTTTATGTTCAAAGGAAATAAGTCCTTTAATAGCGACAAATTCAAGCGACTAGAGATAAGGTGTAAAAGGGTATGTTTGAATACTCTTTTATATTGTAATCTAAAGGTATACGTCAACAGTCATAATAGAAAATAGCATACTTGTTTGTGTATTTATTTCTCACGTAATGTGTCTGTATTAGACACGACATTCTCGGTTTAAGGTCACTTCCGGTACAGGGCGGGTATCCGGTCGCGATAAATCGTTTATTGTTACAATGTAGAAGGACTGAGTAACTTAAAGCCTTTCTGAAATGTTTCTCCATAAACATGATGGTGAGGTGGTGTTTAAAAGTGTGACTTCAGTTTACAAGGTATGTGTGTATCACTTTACATAACATGCTCCTTTCAGTAAGTATAATTAGCGTTTAAAAGTTGCAAAAGTGTCCTGAAAGCACCATCGTATCTAACTTCAATATTGAACAGTATTATTATACTGATATCACGTTACTCATAATAAAATAATCAATGTTTATTATCACGTCTCTAAATTTATTGTCACTTGATGCCGTAAAACTTTGATTCACAATGCGATATTATCGGCAATTAGAATGTTCCACTTGTTAGTGCCAAGATTTCTGAAGCTTATTCATTTTGCAACCGTTGTGCTATAGATTGTCCTATTTTTTGCATATTTTTTATTAAAAATATAAACATATGTCTCTTGATATGTGTTTACTGTACAGTAGAGGATGTATCACTGTTATACAATAGGTTTGTTTTGTTCGTATTTCCGAGGTGACATAGACATGGAAGCGACGCCATCCACAAGCACAGCTAGTTCCAAAGGGGTAGGTATACCATGTAGTATACCATATGTAAGTGTTCTTGTCTAGATATACTGTCGATAGCTTCAGATGTAACAAGCTGTCCTTTATAATCGTTAAGTAGTACAGGTCCATGTCTTACAACAACATCAACACTGTTCATCATAGTGACAAATCTGCTTAGGCCACTTTTACTATTCATACGGTAACCGATCTGTCCTTCGCTTTTTGTCAAATATAAGTCGTGCCGATAATTTTAAACCTGTTGGCCAATCAAAAGTTTTTTTCTTCCTGGGATGCTTCTATCATAATGTTCAACATACACTTATACCACTATGAAATACTTTTAATATCTAGACATTCGAAGGGGGAAACACTTAATTTAAATGTTACTCTGTTGTAGCAAGAAGTCATACGAAGTTAATATTTGTATTGCACCATATTACATTTCGTACATGAGGAGTCATTAGTGGAACTGTAGTAAATGTCAAATGAATCGAAATCTAATTTCCGAAACATGTGTAGACGCCTAAAGGAAAGCGTGACTATGAAATCGCTTATAACGTTACAGATTAACACCATTTTGATACAGCAGATAAATGAGCGTACATACTTTGGTAACCTCCATTCTTCAGTACTTACTTAGTACCTCTATACTATCACAAGCATCTGATTTCGGCCTGGACATTTTGTCGGAGTGTTTTGGTGGTATTTTTGGTGGTGAAGTTTCTGGAGGGGGTCTTTTGATGGGGGTATTATTGGGTGGGAGAATTTCGATGTTAGTATTTAAGTGGGAGAAATTTGATGGGGACTTCGAAGTGGGTGCTTTCGTGTTGAAAATGAGTTCATTTTGTCCTGGAGAGCTAACGCCGGAGTTTATCTTCTGTTATTTATGCATTGCAACGCTTTCAATGTGTATCAATTATTATCACATCTATTACTGTGCATTTGACCAGAAAGCATGTTATTATCTTGGTAACGATGATTCTTTCATATAATTATATATTGCTTTTGTTCCAACCTGCCCTCGGTACATGTAGTATGTTACAAGAAGGATATAATAATTATCAACCTGAATTGTATTTAACTATTAGATAAATCATTTTATACTTTACAGTCCGTAGGGAAGAAACGACAAGTACTCTACTACATGATGCCCGCCGTTTTTGTTACGCTGTTCTGCTTCTGGCCCACCGGCATCATGGCCATCATGAAAGTCACAGATGTAAGTATACTCTATTGAATAGGTCATAGGTGACTATTCCAATGAAGAAGTAATTAAATGGCATCACAATATCCTAGTGATATTTCCAGGTGGCCAAACTTCGTATGCATGCATGTTTTTACAAGACTTCGATCATCAGGCATAGAGCCTAAAGACCTGTGTGCTCAGTTGTTACACATAGCATTTCAATTTAAGAGCAAGTCACAACCACGCTTCCTCATAAGTTATTCTTATTGAAAAGAAATAGTTTAAATATTAAGTTAAAAATTGATCTTTTTCAGAAAAAACAATTTCTGCCAAATTTAATTATTTGTAGATTAATTAGATTGGCGACTCACAGGAGATATGTTATTTCATTTTTTTCAACTAATATCGCGGAGTACTTTTTTGTAGATTGATGACGCTAGGAGGCGGGGAGACGCAATGTACCTCCAGACGAGTAAGAGTGCCGCTTTAAAGTGGATAGGCATGTCAGTATTGTTTGGAGTGGTAGTTCTCTCCTCTTTGGGCTCCATCATAGGATGGCAAATATTCCACAAATTGTGAGGACCAGAACTGGAAGTGAATAGAGTCTATGTTATCGAATAATGCTTTCGCATGATGCAAAACAGTCAAATGCCATTTGCTTCTGATTTGGTTATACATTCAGCAGCATTTTATATTTTTAAATATATTCAATTTAAAAAGTACTTGACATTACCCATGTAAGTCGATCACATTAGCATACCTGGTGTATGTATGTAGGAATGTGATGAATGGTAAATATCAACGACTTATACATCTAGTGTCGAATTAGCTGTAAACAGCAAACTGACATTCTTGCAGCGATTTTCTTGGTTCGTCCGTTGCTTTTTTTGCCTGCAACTATTGTAACATGGCTGAGTCTAAATGAAAACTGCGTACAAATCTTACGATCTTTGAACACGCTCGATTTTTTTTTTTTATTTCTTGACAATGACGACCGTTTGGTAGCGTTATGAATACTACTTGCAGTCAGATTTTTTTGTTACTGCAGTGTATTAAATAACCATGTGTTAGGAGGCCAGGAGACAAAATTAATTATTCATCGCTTTCATTTAATACATGTAATGGTAATTGAAGTGGAAAGTTGACATTGTTTATTATTCTGTTTTTAGCATCCTACAGTGAAAATCTGACAGAAAAGATATATCGACTCTATAAATTTTCGCTCAGACACGTTATCTCAAATAATCTCGTTTTTGGGACAAAACAAAAATACATATTTAGATGGAATCATCTTTATTAGTGGTATTTCTGCTGTCATAAAAATAGGCCGGCAAACTGCATAATGGTTCGATTTGTAATTTTCAAAGATATATAAAAGAAATTCTCAAGTTGAACAATTATTTCGTGAGATACTCCATGAGTTACATCGTGAGTTACCTCGTGAGTAAACCCGTGAGCTACTTCGTGAGTTACATCGTGAGTTACCTTGCAAGTTACCCCGTGAGTTACATCGTGAGTTACGCCATAAGTCACACCGTGAGTTATGTTGTAAGTTACACTGTGAGTTGCACCGTGAGTTACACCGTTAGTTACACCGTGAGTTACATCGTGGGTTACACTCTGAGGAATATTGTGAGTTACCCCGTAAGTTACAACGCGAGTTACATCGTGAGCTACACTGTGAGGTACATTGCGAGTTTCCCCGTGAGTTAATAGTAAGTTAATTTGAAACATATAGAACAGCGTTGATACTGACCCAACTTTTAGATGTACGTCTAAAGGTAGTATGGCATGACCAATGGAATGTAGATATACATAGACGAAGGTTGATGCTGTACTACACCCTTATTGAATTCGGATATGTAGTGCTACTCTTCAAGCACTGCATATATGTAACAGACTTCATTTATATACCTGATCACCGGCGACCGACCCGATCTAGTTCTACCACAGCCAATCCCTCCATGAACAAAGTCTTCGACCCTGAAGCAACGAGAGACCGCCTACAACATTCCGTGTGGTTATGTAATTGTTAGTGAAACCATCCAAATGGCGAGATCGGGATGCGAACTTAGGACCTCTGAACTCTAGACAGACACTTTACCTTATAAACAGCGTTCGACCCAGTCCAGTTCCGCTACATTTAAATAATCTAACTATATATAATGGTTGTGCTTGCATACGTTTTGCTTCAAGGCACGCGTGAAAATACAAATTATGATGGCATAAATGCAATTTCTACCACTTGTTCGCTCTTACAAAAATTTGAGAAAGAGGGGCTTCCTTAAATTTTGAAAATATCAAACGCAGATCAAGTACCCATTTTTCTTTCCATATATGAAATACACATCAAAAAAGAAATGACATAAGAACAATTAGCAAAGAAAATAAAAAATAGCAAGTGAAACTTATCCAGGCTTTTATCGAAACATTGTATTGCACCAAATGTCCATTTAATCCATTTAGAAATCACAGTGGTGCTAATACAATATAATGTTTTCCGAAACACATCTAGAAATACAGCGAAAGGGGAAAGGTGCATTTCATACCCCTCTAACTGTAGTATTTCTCAAAAACCATAGTATTTCAGCTCAAGATGTCCACCAGCAGAGCCTACCACCTTTTAACTTTCTTAACAAGAACGTTTAGAACTACTTGCATCTCATTCTCCAAAACGTGAAAACACCACAAGCTCCTTTCCGTCAACTTATTTTTTACGTTAACTTACTTTCATCCTCCATAATTTCGATCTTTACACCCCTGGAATACGTCATAGCAAAATTGAAGGCACGCGGTTAGCTATTTGATTGGTGTCTGATGAAAAAACTTGACCAATCACTAGGCTGATACTTGTCCTTTGAAGATTGCAGAGGAGCGACGCCCGACTTAACAGCCAGTAACGTTTACCGTTACACCACCGCGGGATTCTTTTGCTGTACATCAAAGGATCAAACTAGTCCATTTCAATTCAATTCAATTTATTGACTTTAGGCCTTATGGCCCATGAATACATATTACAAATTACACACAATACATAATAAGAAGGTGAAACAGCAAGACAAAAGTGGAGTAGGATTTAAAGAAATACAGCTCTTATCTTATTTGCTTCAAAATTAAATTTGCCGAGACGGCTTAATTCCTTGTTGTTATTGACACACAATAACTGTATTAATTGAAACATTGAAGGTTTTTGCCAATAGTATTTTTTGATATATTCACTTCTTAAGTCGTTGTACATATTACATATTAATACAAAATGATATTCGTCTTCTACTTCAGTAGTCGACTTACAAATTGCACAATATCTCCTATTCCGCTCGATACCTCTATAACGACCGGTTTCAATTGCCAAAGAATGTGCAGACATACGAAGTTTTGTTAAACATATTCTATATTACTTAAGCATATAATTAGTTTAAGAAACTGAATGGAAAAATGTTTACAATATGCTTATATAAAAAATGATTTCGAGGAATTCTCTAATAAACCTCTCAAATATTGTTGAGCTCGGTCAAAAATTCTTTGACGTATGACAAGGTCAAATGGATTAAGCGTTCGATGGTGATCGGTCTGCCAATATCTGTCTATGACAGTTTATATATATGCTGAAATTAATGTTTTTGTACATGTACATGTATGTGTGTGTAAATGTGTATGAGTTGTATGAGATGTTTCCTTCATGAGTTACTTCCCCTTAGCCTTGTGTTAATATGAATAATTTTGTGTTAAATGTTTCATTTCTAACATGTCTAAAATATTATGTCACATTGTTTATTCCACTTTGGCCATCTGTTATTCTATCCAATTGACTATGCATTCTTGTCAATAAAATTTGATGAAATGAACATCATCTACTTATTTTATATTTTTTTCAACTTATCTTTTTTTATAAAGCTGGTATTATATTTAGTAATTAGACATTTTTTGGTTAATCTTGACTTCATTAGTAATAGGGCTATAATGAAAACCTTTAAAGTACATGCATGTTATCATGTCACAATAGATTGATACAGTTAGCATGTCACAATACATCGGTACAGTTATCATGTAACTATAGATAAATACATTTACTATGTCACAATAAATTGGTACATTTATCATGTCACAATAGATGGGTAAATATATAAAGTCACAATAGAGGGGAACATGTATCGTGTCAAAATAGATATGTACATTTATTGTGTCACTATAGATAGGTACAGTTATCATGTCACAATAGATCGGTACATTTATCATGTCATAAAATTGTAATAGATATGTACATTTATAATGTCACAACAGTCAGGTAAAATTAATATGTCATTAATACAGAAAATATTGGATTAGATATTGTAATCCTCGTGTTTTGTTTTACTCTTCCTTTTTACTAGCTTATTATCTTTATTGTAGACGCAATAGCAATACCAATTTATAAGATTAAAGTGTTTTGTTTAAATTTAAGGAACTAAGGAAATTCTGTAAATTGCGTCATTGAAGCTAGAAGACCTGCAAATATTTAAAAACAAATGTTGTGACATCTATTTCTTGAAATTCATTTTGCTGCTGTTTTCATTGATGGAAAGTCTGAACTGGAAATGCAGAAACAATGAAAAATCTGTCATCACATACGTATTTATATGTTAATTGTAATTTGAACCATACAATAGAAATGACATTATATTATTGTTTACCAACCGATGTAATAGTACTATTTTTAAACCGTGATCCGGGCATGTTTAACTCACCTTATTCAGTAGAAACTAAAGCATATCACTTCATTATATATTGTTTTATAGTCATAATCACATAAGCCACATACACAATGTTAGGTGTTGGAGAGACAGTTCAATTACAGGCTAGAAGAGCGTGACCAATCGTATATATAATGACCAGTGCCCAATGTTATGGTTATATAAAACCTAAATGTATTGATATTTCCTTTTAATATAGGAGATACTTCAATAACAGGGCGTAACCAAATAAGAAAAAAAATGTAAATATTTAAATTCTTCTCCCTCCGTACGGATGAAGATATAAAACTAGATCTGGTCTGCAACACTGTAGGCAAAGGAAGCTCCATCTTGTGTAAACGAATGGTGTGCCCTTATGATGCAGGAGGATTCGGTTTAATAAGGAGGAACATACATGTATATCTTTATAAACCTTTTCATTGGAATCACTACTGAATTGTTCTTACATTTAAAGGTTGTAATGGAACGTGTATTTCTGCTTTGCCGAAATAGTAAGTATGCGAACAGGTGCATGTGTTGGTATATTTGTGTTGGATTGATCGTTCTGTATAATCCAATATTATACAAATACGATAAAGAAAGACCCTTATCTGGAGTTTATATATTGTCTTTATTAGGCAATTTCATGTCTTTATTTTAAATAGACAACGACAATGAGGGTATGAAGCATAATCTTTGAAATTGACAGATACCTATGATCGTGACAAGATATATGCCTCGTCAGATTGCAGCATCCGCATAACATAAGCATAACACAGAAATTTCAATAAAATGTATAAGCTGATAGAGTCGAAACAATATGAAAATTAAATACATGACAACATCATGTATACCTTGATACAAATGACAATACTAATTCCAAATTGAATATGATTTATTAGTTAAGAAATATGTTATATCCATTATGTTTACTTTATACTCAACAATGTAGGTATCGAAGGTGTCGAGACGTTTTATGACCATCTTATCCCTTCACAAGCTACGTCAAGCTATGACAAAGGGAACAGTCGGTATTAAAACGTTTCGACATGTTTAATACGAACATTTTTGTGTATAAAGTAAAAAAAAATTGGATAAAACAGATTTCTTAACTAATAAATCATATTCAATTCGGAATTAGTATTGTTACTTATATCAAGTTTGAACTGTATTCTTTGTGATGTTACAAAGACTTCCATCGGTCAATTGGAAAATATAAGGCAGTATACCAAACGGTTACGTCATGCAATTAGCGACAGTGTTACCACAGATATTCATTAATTGTACGTCTTAAAATATGGAAAATGCGGAGTCAAAGCCTCGAAATATAATCATGGTGCTGAAGAACTACGTAAAAAAAGAAAGAACACGTAACGAATATATTACGATAACGTTAAAATACAAGAATAATAATCATCTATAAGCACATGACCAGAGGAAATTTAGGAGACACCAAAAAAAACGATTTATAGGAACCCCGCAAAAAAACAGCAACAAACCCAGGTGTCGTTTGTCAACAATAGTAATGTGTGTTATGGGACCATAACAACATTTGCTAAAGCATTCATTGCTTAAATGTAAGCCTCTCAGAAAAATGAAATTTTAGTACGTAGATCGCTTGTCTTCAACGAGAAAGAAAGAACAAATCATTTACAAAAGAAGAATAAAACAAATCATTATCAGAGTAAATATGTTTATTTTGATATCCAACCATAATGAGTGTAATGAGATAAATGTTACTATAAAGTCGAAGAGTATGTTCCCAGGAGTAGAACTACTTCCTATGTAAATAGATTGTTGGTTTCTCAGCATTCTTGTCAAGAGTATGTTCGCTTAATGATTTACACTCTTCTTTTAAATCTTAAAAATATTTATTGGTGACAGACAATAGTTCAAACTTTTTTGTCTATTTTTAAACTGTTTCAAAAACCCGATGAAAATCAACAACTTTCAGGGACAATATTATTACCATAGGACCGGTAGGAATTTGGACAGTCAAAGCAACGTTTATAGTAAAGTGGTATTGATGGTATGCTGAATGATTTTATGATAATATTTTCTTTGAAATTTTGATTAAATACTTAAAATTATGGAATTCTTGTTCAAAAGTGCTGTGTTAAGAAAGAATACGTCAACGTTAGATATAAAACTTACATTTGAATCATTTCCTTTCACCAGTGATTAAAAAAAAACAATGAAAACATCATTTTTGACACAGAGGTTAGAATCAAGCAATTTACTGTTTTTCTTTTCGTTAAATTACTAGTGCGAGCAATCAATGTGCCAACACATTAGGCTACATTCTGCTTTTCAGTATGGAATTTTGCTCTTACAATAATTCAAATTTGAAATGATATATCATTAAAATGTTGCAAACATCTTTTCAATATAAAAAAAAAACACACACACAATGTAAAACCAAAACTATTAGTTTTTTATACCTGATCTAAAAACAACACTACAGGAGAATACCGATGTGTTAACCACACCATAAAACGAACTAAAATCGGAAAGAATGGGGGCAGTGTGAACAAAGGAATAAAAAGAAACTGACACCCGTCATATGAATCTAAATTGTGCAGGTTAAATTCTAGTCATATTTTCAAAATGAAAACCAGAAAAGAGACAATAAAACCACAAGACATATTGAATAAAATGTCGATATTCATCTCACACAAGGAAATAGATATTTTCGAGGGAGATTATGGTACCGACCATACACATTCATCATGTTTCATCTCTGTCCTCGAACTCACGACCTACGATACCAAAGCGCATAGTCTAGACATATCAGCAGCTCCTACCACTACACAACATCAACTTAAAAAGAAGGTGTCTATGATACAGTGACGACTAAGCCGAATATCTCGACATAGTCATAGTGACAAATCGTCTAGTAATGATATGAGTACATTGTATCTGGATCGCAATGTATACATATAGACCTGGATACGCATTCAACAAATATCAACTATATAAAAGGGAAATATTAAGACAGATTTCCTTGCAATAGAACAAGGTTGATAGGACCTGTTTTCCCGGATGGGTACTCTATTACACTTATCATAAGTAATATATAAACAACTTTTGTGCGGTACAATTTAGTATAAAGCGGCATCAGGAGACACTCGGATTAAGACCAAGTTAAAATGCACAAGAGCATGGTCATACAGCCAATAATACTACATACAAAGATACAAACATGGATGATATTAGATACAACAAAACGTAATAGATGTACAAGAAAGCAAAAACAATATAATTAGGTAGTTATGTTCACAGTCAAAATAAAAATCTTAATAGAAACTACTTTCTAGTAGATGAAGCGAACAATTTCCTGTTAATGTCGCATGTTTATTTCTATTTTTTGGAAAATGTCCTTAAGTTAGAATTATATGTAATGGCCCGTTTTTCTTTTGAAGATGTTGGAGATTGCTTATTGTTTTAAACATGTGCACACTCATTCTGTGCTACCTGTACGGTGTACACGAGTTCGATGTCATACACAAATTGCATGCGGATATGGGAATTCAGCCATTGGGAGTTTTTAATGCCAATATAAAGAATCCATAAAAACAAATTGATAATGTTTTTTCATGGATGATTCCGCAAACTTCATGAAAAGCTAACATTCCTCTGCCCTGATGTATGACAAAATGTAGAATATTCTTTTGATGGATTTGATCACTTGGTGCACTCATCTTGCTATACGGTTGCTGTGGACTCAATTGTCATCTGATCCGTTAGATGGAGGTCCTCGGCCTCCTCCAGCAGTTTGGCATGGCTATGTCCATAATAGATTTCACCATCAAAAACCTAATGTAAGTATGCTACTCGTTGATCTCGAGAAGATAATGTAACAAACCACAGATGATCGGGACAGCTTTCCCACCCCAACCTGTGAAGAAGCAGACTGATGGCACTACATCCAGT